AACAACTATAAGTTGAATGAGGATGAGGTGGAGGAGGTGAAGAAGTTGGTGAGGGAAGATGGGGACGTAGTGGATATCTTGTACCTCACCAGCCCGGAGGCGATAGATGCTGCTGAGCTTTATGGGCCAAGCTCATTGGGGGAAGGTTGGTGGATGTGTTTAATGTGCCATTTTGGTGAGAGCTTAACTAATGTGTTCTAACATTGATGTTTGTTCTGCAGCTGAGATGGACGAGTTTGTTGGTGTTGTTGGGGGCTTGTGCATCCCCAAGAAGCCAAGGAAGAAGTCAAAGACTTCAACTGCGGCTGAGAAGGGGGTGACAGAGGGGGGGCGACTGTCCAGCATCTCTGCCCAGGCTATGGAGGTTCAGCCAAGGCCGGAGCCTACGATGGGGGGTAGTGAGGATGTGAGTGCGGAGATGGCACCTCTCCAGAGGAAGAAGAGGAGGGTGGCAGAGCTAGGAACTAGGGGGGACGAAGTGGTGGAGTTCGTGCCCCTGCCTTCTCCCCTTGAAATCAATCCGGAAGAGAGGGAGAGGGGCGAGGTCGAAGTGTGAGGCCTTGGTGGGGGCAGGGAGCGCACCCCTCCGCCCGTATACCAGAAGAGTTTGTTTGAGGCGACAAACAAGACTGGGGCGAAACACTTCCTCAACGCTACTCTTCCGGAGGTGGATAGAGTTCAGGCGAAGAACGAGGTGGTTAGCCATGCGGGGTATACCGTTGTGAGGCATGCCCTAGAGGTACGCGAAATAATTAGATTTTACTTCGGTTGTATGTTTTGAGTTTTTTGTCCTGCGTGTCTGATGTCTGACTTCTGATTGCCTTGTAGAGTGCGAGCTGGACAAACGCTCTAGCGCAGGAGTATGCGGAGAGCGTTAGAGATCGTGCCAGCTTGCAGCGGCAGTGCGATCAGCTCCAGAAGGAGAAGGATGAGCTGCAGAAGGAGAAGGTGGAATGGGAGAAGCAGAAGAGGGAGATGCAGAGGAGGCTGGATGAAGTTCTCCCTTCAGTGACCGAGCTCCAGAATGAGAATGATGTCCTGAGCACGAAGCTCGGCCTTGAAGAACGTAAGAGGAAGATCCGCGAGGAGAAACTCGAGGCTCAGGACAAATATATGGACAAGATGAGGAAAGTAGCCTCGGAGCTGAAGAAGAACGTGGACCTGCTGGTGCACAACGGGATGGAGGAGCACATTGGCAACTTCCTCAACTCCAGCACCTTCGAGGACATCCTCAAACTCTACCGGCTGCCAACCGCAATCGTGGCCTTCACCGACTGTAGAAAGAAAGTGAAGGCCCAGTACCCAGAGGTGGACGTGACAACAGTCACCTTTGGGGAACAAGAGGAAGGGGTGGAGGAAGATGGGGAGAGCCTCTGTGCTGACTTCCGACCTCAGATCACGCTGAGGTGGGAGCGTGATGCAGAGGGGCGCACTATTTTTCCTCCAACCTTCGAGGCTGAGTTGGTGGCGGTGGGGGGAGAAGAAGAAGAAGAGCAAGGCACTGGAGTTGGGGATCAGGCAGCAGTGGCCGAAGTGCAGCCTCCTGAGGTGCATCCAGTCTCCTCTGACGAGGTGCAGCAGCTGGCTCCTCCTGAAGTAGAAGTGCCGCCTCAGCCTGCTGAAGACGAAACCAGGTCTCCACCTCTTCTTGCTGAGGAGCAGCCTCCTCCTCCAGCTGAGTAGTTTAGGTTTTGCTTTGCGTTATTGATGTAAATAACATTGTTTAATGTATAAAATTTTTGAACTTTATTATTTATCTGGTGTTCGATTTTTAATTTGATGTTTTTCGTTGAGGAATAAGTTAACTAGAATTAACGCAAGGTTCTGACCTCGGGTAATCAGTATAGTAATTGACTTCGTATATCCATAGGGTATACCCCGAAGACGAAGTAAAGCACTTCAAAAATAAAGTGTAACTGATTAAAAATGTAACTGATTAATAGGATTATAACCCTAAAAATGAAGTGGCTGAATGAGTCAGAATAAATGAAACTTACTTCCAACGTATAGAAGAGTACACAGAACTGAATTACTTCGGACGCGAAGTGAAACTTATTTATTAATGAATTGAGTTAAAATACATTCTAAATTGAGCAGAAGGAGTGAAAGTAAGAATGATCTAAACAAAGTTCACTCGAATGAAGTATGTTTAAGGGTAAAATTTCTTTAGGTTATTGATATTCTAGACTCTGGGAACCTGTTTGCCTTCAGTGTCCCATAGGATATAAGCACCTGGGTGCGGCACTTCGGCAGCAGTGTAGGGGCCTTCCCAGTTTGGTGCTAATTTGTTGAATCGAGTTTTGAACCCCGTTAGACCAGCTTTCCTGAGAACAAGGTCTCCTACTTTGAATGATCGGGGTCGAACTCGTTTATTGTAGAAGTTTGCGATTTTCTGTTTGTAGATTAGAGTTCGAAGTCATGCTTCTTCTCTGAGGTCATCAAGCAGATCAAGGTTCTCCTGAAGCAGTTGTCCATTCCGTCCTTCATCGAAATGGGTGACTCTGAAGCTTGGAACTCCTATCTCGATAGGAATGACTGCTTTGGTTCCAAAGGCCAGATGATAGGGTGTTTCACCTATTTCAGTGGATTATAACTTTAGAATGCGCTTTACACGTTATGCATA